CCCCAATATGCATCCCAATAGGTGTTTCAAGGTCTAACTTGATCTAGGGTAGATGTGCCTTAAATTAATCCCATGAATCGAATTGAAAAAAATTAAAAAGAAAATATAAAATCACCCAATGGTACTAGGTAATACGTTGGATATTTAGGTAGGTGTTTGGCATCGATGTCGTTTTTTGAGGAAATGACACCATGTAGATATCATATCAGAGAAAACGGTGCTTCAAACAATACTCTCTTGTTTGGTACCATTTTCTAGAAAAACGATGCATTGCTGCTAACGTGCAATGATGTGGCATCATCTTGGACGTTAGATAATATATACCATGTTGAAAATGTTGCTGCAAACATTGGTACCAAACAAAACTAGTGCTATTTTCTCAAAAAATAGCCTATGTGGAAACACTGGTTCCAAACAAAAAATAAGCACAATTTTTTCTCTACATGCGCAACAACGATGCCAAATACCTACTAGAACTTTGTAATAGTAAAAAGATTCTTACTTTAAATTGCTGAAACCTCCCCTTAAGTTTATGACCGTTGTTGAAATCTCTCTCGAATTTTAGTAATTGCAATCACTTCCCTTGGACTTTCTGATATAGTTGCAAGTACACCCCTTTTTAGAATCATCTAACAAGAGCCATGAAAATGTCAAAAATACCCATGCATTTATCATTGAGGCTGGTTGCTATTGGAAGAAACAATACAAACAACAAAAAAAATATTTGAATTTAAATAGTAGTTTCAATCAAGGTTTTTAAAATCGAATCGGTCAGGGGGGCCGGTTCCTGGGTTGAATGGTTTGACCATTTGAACAGAACGGGCAGCCTGTTTTGACAAAAATAAAAATAAAAAATGACTAAATTGTTGGACAATTCGAATGGTTTGACCGCCCGAGTTAGTGGCTTGCTGACCAAATCAACAGTTTTTTGTGAAAATAACAGTTCTGGGGTAAAATGGAACCGATCACTTGACCGGTTCCCTATTTTTTCAATCCAACCATCCGGTCCAATCCGGTTTTGAAAACCATAGCTTCACCTGAGTTATTGATATGAAGGACAAATTTAAAAAATAAATCAATTTTAGAAAAGATATATTTGGTGTAATGATTCATATGAAGAAAAAATATGGAAAATAAATATTTTTGTCAAAAATAACTATGTAGATATTTTGAATATTTTCATGTCTCTTTTATACTGTTGATCTACTTACAACTATGTTAGAAAGTCTGGAAAAGGTGATTGCAATTAATAGATTTGAGAGAAGGTTTTGGCAACAACTAGAAACTCAAAGATAAGTTTAAACAATGTACCCTTTAAAAAATAATCGGATTATAGTGAGGTGGTTCAAATTGTGAATCAAACACTTTTTTTTTTTTTGAATATAGTCTAATTAGGTTTTGAATAGGAAAATTCTTGTTCCCTTTTCTTTTTTTTTTGGGGGGGGGGTTCTGAATGTCCACATAGAGAGGTTCTTTCCAAAGTGTTTAGGCTGTAAGAATATGCTTGAGAAAGATATGACTTTCCGTGGGGCCAGTATTCAAATTATTTGATTTATAACCCACCACCTATTCCCTAACTTTGGCCTTCCAACGAATTCTTGCACATGGTGGGGTCGGCCCATCACCACACACTCCTCTCTCTCTCTACAATGAAAATCTAGAGAGATATGAACTGAATTTGGGCAACTCTTAATTGAGATAGTTGTCATTGAATATATGGCATTCATGGTTGCCCCGACGAATGATGACATACCATATCCAATATCTCCATCCAACACATTTAAGACGTCCCCATACTGCCACCTCAACAAAAGAACACCCCCCTTTCCTATCTGTATTCGTTTGAGATCTGACGTCAAGGGGTTAGTCTGCAAAAAAAGAAAAAATAGGCTCAACGCCCCACCATATCCAATATCTCCATGTCAACCACGTAATCTAATAAGATTTTTTTAAGCATAGGTGACGTGGCCTTATTATCCATTACTAAAAGGATCATTCCCTTCTTTTTCAAAGGAATCGAATCCGAATGTTTTCCTTTTCCCCTAGATGGTATTCATTGAAGAAACACAAATAGCAACGTTATCATCCCTCCACTACTCGACCCAAATGAGATCGGTGGTCTACATAAAACCAAGTGTTACCTCATAAGATATTAAATATTCCACGCCTCGATCTTGGTAAGCTAAATAGATAAAGATCTAAAATGGGACAACAAGATGAAGATGGAGTCCACCTTTGGAACTTACCTTTTCTTTAGACTGTTTTTGTACAGGTTTTCTTACCTTTTCCATAAAACCAAACACAGTATTACGAAAAACAGTAATGAAACATTGACACTGACCTCCATTTAAATTCTGAATTTCATCAAGTCTCGTCCGGACTCCGGAGAAAGCTGGAGCATGGTATGCTATTATACAACAAAACTGGTGTGACGTGAGAAATTTTAAGTTGCCAAGTGTAAGAAAGAAAGGAGTAGTTACCCCACATGCATATACACTATACTGTCTTATCCAAATTAGGATACTAATACAGATGGGGGTTAGGTATTGCTGCTTGCAGGGAGGAGTTGGATTCCATGAACATGATATATATTTATAAAAATATTTCATCGGGTCTTCACTATCTTGCATTGAGTTGTCATCACCATACCCACCTGACCAGTGACCCCTCCTCCTATCCTATGCTATAGGGACATAGCCAGTCATTCCTTGATTTCAACGAGGGCATATAAGGACATGCAAATAAAATAAACAAATAAAAATTGTAAAAAAAATGACTGCAGGTGCAGGAGTTCTTCCTTTCTATCTCTGTATAAAGATATATATATATAGAAGAGAATTATTATATGAAAATAGAAAAAAAAAAAGACTGAACTGCCAAGGATTTGATATGGGATATAAGCTTTTCAGAAACAAGTGAGGGTGGGGCGCTGTAAATGCCCCCTTCCCTCTTCTGTCTTGTCATCTCTCCTTTCCCCCCTCTCTCGCGCTCACACAGTCACTCATCATCTCCTTCCACTCCTCTCTCTCTCTATTTATTTCTCTCTCCTCTCTTCAGTCCTGTGTCCACCTGACTACTGACTTCTCTTTCCCCTTGGATCATTTCAGTCCACGTGTCCGGCCCCACGTCTCACCCTTGACCCCTTCCCTAGTTTCCTTTCCCCCACGAGACCGAGACCGAGACCGAGACCGAGACCGAGAGACCTCTCAACTCAACTTCTCCTGTAGGCTGTATTCCCCTGATTCCCACTCCCACGTATCGCCTCTCCCCTCACTTATCTCTCTCTCTCTCTGCTCTGCTCGTCTCTGCAGCCTTTTCTCTCCACTTGAACACTTCACGCCCATTGGACCATAACACAGAACGAGACACTTCCTGCTCGCCCTCTCTATCATTCTATCTCTCTCCTTCTGCGTGTACAGCTTTTCCCTTAAAAGGACTTGACCTTACTGGAGGAGAACTCAACACTGAACAGCCAAGCAGCAGCGAACACCAAAACTGCTGCTCTTTGCCTCTCTTCCTCCTTACACTCACAGACAGAAATATAAGCATTAAGCATTAGTTTCTACTTTCATAAAGACAACAAACAGATCCCCACCAATAGACTGTACTGCAGCCTCGTAGTAGAAAAAAAGAAAGATATATTAAGGAGCAACAAGAGGACGCGAGAGAGAGAGAGAGAGAGAGTGAGGAGGGTGATGGAAAATGGCGGAAATGGATTATTCAGCGGCAATGGAGGAAGTGGCAGAGGGCAAAATAGTAATAACGTCAATCACTCGTGGGATATTTGGGAGCTGGGGACGTCTCGGTTCGATTGGAGCAACAACTCTTTCAACGCAGACGCTGTAACAACGACAACAACGACCGCAGTAGCAGCAGCAGCAGCAGCAGCGCATGCTATAATGTTTCCTCACCAGGGGGACAATGCGCACCACCACCACCACCTCCACCACTATCCGTCTCTGTACGCCACTGCGGCTTCCCACGTGCACCCTGATCCCCATCTCGCCTGTTTGAAGTTAGGCAAGCGACATTACTTCGAGGACGGTACGCCGTTGGGGGAGCGCCACGTACCTGGCTTCCCCATCGAGAAGAGGGGCAGATCCTATGATGTCGGCGTTGGTGTTGGCGGTCCGTCGTCGTCGACAACCGCGGCCGCTACTATTGCTGCTGCTGGAATGGGATCCCCGGTAGCGGTGCCCAGGTGTCAGGTGGAAGGCTGCCATGTCGCGCTTTTGAATGCCAAGGATTACCACCGGAGGCACAAAGTGTGCGAGATGCATTCCAAAGCGCCTAAGGTGGTGGTGCTTGGGATCGAGCAGCGTTTCTGCCAGCAGTGCAGCAGGTGCCTACTTCAACTCCATTTCTTTCTTCTTTCTCCCTCTCTCCTGCTCATTCTTTACAGTCCACACCTTGGATGTAACTGTGCATTACACTTCGTTTATTATTAATAAAAGTTTTTCATTTCTTTTCTTTTCAAAAAAAAAAAAAGAAAAAAAGCTTTTAGCTTTCAAGTTTCAATTCTAAAAATCAGGATTACAGTTCCCTTACTTTGCAGAATCCTCAGATATTTTGCCGATTTATACTCTTGATATCGTCTTCTTCATTTTTTTTTTTTGGTTCATTCAAATCATTCGTTAATTTTTTCGTCCTCTCCTTTCAAGTGGATTTCTCGGGGTTGTTTTGATCTGCTTCTTATTTGGGTTAGGATTGGTGTAGGTTTCATGTGGTATCAGAGTTCGACGATTCAAAAAGGAGTTGCAGGAGGAGATTAGCTGGTCACAACGAGCGAAGGAGGAAGAGCTCTAATGATTCTATTTCCAGGAACCAATCTCAAGGTTTACTCTTCTTTCCTTTTTCTTTGTTGAAACTGGTAGAAATGAAGTTAAGCTTAAAATGATAATTCAACCGTATTTACTATTTTATTTTTTTCAGAGCTCGAATTGCAATTTAATCATGTTTGATATGGGTCTGATGCCAATTTATGAATTTTCTTTGAATGTTGACCTTTAATTTTGTGTTTACTATTAAGAACATGCTATGTATATGGATTATAATATACTAGATTTTATTGCGTTAAATTGAAATTCAATAGAACAAGCTAGTTCAAAAAATTAGCTCTCTTAGCAATTACATGGTTGTCTTATTACTTGTTCATTATCAATGGTTCAGTATCTCAACACAAAAAACGATCTCAAGAAAGTTTTTTCTTTTCAAAATTCTGTTAAAACTTTTAATCATTAATGGATTAACAGGTTAAAGTTTGGTTTGGAACCACTGTCTATGCTTTTACTCTTGTAATCTGATTTAGAGCATTTGACCATCCTATACTGCACATTTCTCGGTTTCAAATGTACGAAATATTCCTGACTAGCAGCTTTGCCCATTACTACATTCCAATTACTGTATACTGATAACAGTCATTGATTGGTGTGCATATATTCTAATATAAAGTCAGTTGTGAACAAATGCTGATGCGCTTCTCTTTGTCTTTGATGCTTCATGACCTTTTTTAGCTTCACAATACCTTACGACATGACATTTATCACTTCTTACCACTAAAATTTGGCCTATGATTAGTTTTGTACATCAGTTTTTTTGAAGGGTTCAATTTGAGGGTTTTGTAAGGTGAATGAAAACCATAAGAGGTGAGGGGTGGGACGGTGGGTTTTGACTTTGGTGCCAGCAATTATGCCCTTTTTTTTCTGATCAAGCGGAGGATGCATCCCAGATGCTAAGATAGATATAATTTTCTTTCCTGTCAATAGAGGCAATTAATATCCTTTGACTTTTGTGTTTGTTTGTGTGTGTCTGTGTTGGGGGAGGGGGAGCTCACTTGAAAATATATTAAGCCTTTCAACTTGTTTTAACCATTTATACTATTTGTTTAGGACACTCTTTTCCTCAAATCTGCATCATGGCTCTTCTCTTCCGTATTGGGTGGGGGACAAGGAGACTGTAGAGCATCTTGATTTTTATTGATAGAACATCTGGTTTTTGGTTTCTAAGTTTTCCTAGTTTCTTTTCCTCCACACAGGCCTTGGGGGTTTAATAAAACAATTAAGAAAAGGGAAGTTTGTGTAGGGGAAATCAATTATTTTCATGTATTTGGCTAAGCAAAAATTGCCGCCTACTTTCTCTCATTTTCAGAAAACTGATGTAGCTGAGAAGTCAATTGAGATGGATGACCTATGACTGCATTAATGAGGAGTAGCCTGGGCAAGTGGGAGGGTCTAGGATAATTATCATCCATTAATAGAAATAAATTTAACAAAAATCACTGTTTTCTTTGGTATGTTTTTTTCCCTTTTTTATTCAATGAATGGAGGCATCACAGGTTGAAAAATTTTAAAATCAAGTCGGCACAAACCAATTAGTTCTTCTGTTAAAATTTTATTTAATATGTGCTATGTGGATCTTGCAATTACAAGAATATAAATGAAAATTCAACGCCAATTGATGATGAAGAGTTACTTTAAAATGATTATATTCCGCACCTCAGTTTATGCATTGATTTCGAAAGGGAGATTGAAGTAGATATTGTCTAGAGAACTCAAGGAAGGTGGTTTGAATGAGTTGCTTTCCATTTGTCGTGTGATCTGTTCACACCGATCTAATTTAAGGGAAATTTTGTAATTGTGTTTGTAAATCTGAACTGAAAAGAACTGAACCGAAAATAATTGTGTTTGTAAATCTGGAGATAGCCTCAATGCATGGAAAAATGGACAAGTTAGGCCAAGATTATTTAGTCATGTGCATGGATATATATTGATTATAGAAGCAATGAGTATGAATTTGGTTCATGGGTTCTTTCATGGATCCTTTCTTCATGTATGGTACCATGAGAATTTTTATCTTGCTTTTTAAACTTCTATTAGGTTTCATTTTCCCTCAGAATTGTTACTCTGCATTCTTCCACAGATTTTTAGTTCCACATGTAAGATATAACAATTTTTGAAACTTGTATATCATAATTGGTTAATACCATGTATTAGAGAGGAAAGTACTAGTGAGGGGGATGGTCAAAGTGGAGTTTTATCGTTCATGCACCTGACGAACTGTGCCATGCCTTGTCAAGTGATTTGTGGAAGTGAAAACATTGACAAAGGTAATATCTGTGGAACTTAAATTTCATATTAAAGTTGGGCCATGAGAAATATACAATTGTTTCTCATGAACAAAGTCCAAGTGTTATAAGACTTCTTCAACCTTAATACACTTCTAATTGATGAAACTAGTTAGTGCTCAACTATGTGGCTTTCCTGTTGCTTTAGGCGTGAGAAGGTTCTGAAGATTTTCCTTGTTAGCATATTATTTGCTAGAGATGGAGCATCATGTAGGATATTGCATTGCACTCTTTTTCTAGTTAAAAGTGATTGTTGCTTTAATTAGTTCTCCAAATTATGTATAATCTATTTTTTTTTTCAAAAATAATCAGAGAACTTGTTTGGGAATCCCTCTAATTGTGCATCTTTTCTGGTTCCCTGTGCTCGTCATTTTCCTTCATGTGGAAGCAGCTATAACACTTGCATCAACTGAAAATGGATGTGTTCATTGAAAGCTTATTAAATTGGTCGATTCTTCTGTTGGGTTGCCAATACACTGGGATAAAAAGCTTCACTTTTTATCCCCGTGTTTCCGCCTGTTTTATTTATAACTCATTCTGCCAACTTATAGAGGGCTAGAAATGCCATCAAGCCTTGTGCATATCTTTGAACTAGGATTTGAAAACTGAATAGTTTAGCAGAATATACTTCATTTGTTCTACATCAAACTTGGCTTAATCTTCTCCATATTATCATAGCTGTTCTTCTGGGGATCATTGCAATTGCGGTTACGATGATCTATTTCGTCCATTTGATGTTTATTTGATTTTCATGATCTTTGTGCTTGTTCTCCAGGCAGCATTATGATTTAGTGCTTGTTTCTAGAAAATTATGGGTTTTGTTATTCAGCCAAATTTGAGTTTCACCTTGCAGTCTCTTTGTAGCTTTAGATTTTTCAGTACTTTTTTTAGTCGATATCCACATTGCAAGTAGGGAAGTAAACACAGTTTTGATCACTGATGATTAAGCTATATATATTGTGTAGAACAAAAATCAACGGGTGGAAGATTCTCGTGCATATCATCGTCGTCAGGACGTGCTCTCTCTCTTCTGTCATCCAAGTCTTCCTCCTGGATTTCTCCATCTGACCTCTCCTCTCGGTCTAGTGCTGCACTACGCGAGTTGATTGCAGAGAATCGAGCAGCAGCCCTCGCCCGGCAGCTCTTTTTGGACAGGGCCTGGCACCACCATGCGATGGATGAGTTGGGTGGCACCCAACCAGGAATAGTGCCTCACCCTCACCAACACCAACCATTCCCGGAATCAACCGAGTGGAACAAATTCCAAGACGGTGATGCCCATGTGACATTAGACCTGATGCAGATGCCAAGCTCGCCTTTCGGCTTCCTACCTGGCAAGACAAAGTCCAAGGAAGAGGAGGATGAATGCTGTGAGATATGGAAGTCTTTGGAGGGAACTCATGTCATCTGAAGTTCTTTTTTCATTTGTTTATTGTTTTTTCTGCTTCCTTCTTAATCGTCACTGTTTGCTTATTGTGTTATGTTCCTACTTTCATTCGGAATTTCTGATGAAGTCTGAACTTTGAACCACATTGCATCTGATGAAAGAAAGGGGGTTCAGAGAAGGGACTTTCCATATACAAGATGTGATTTATCATGTGTCCATCCCTCCATAAGCTGCATTCTATCATTTTAGTATGGATTTATTGTAAAAATATATCTCATTCTGTCAAGGTGGGAAGGGATACGAAATCGAGCACTATACACTCGATGAAACTAAAGCGACACTACCAAAGGTTGAAAGCATTCTGAAATTCTCTAGTCATTCTTTTTACCATTAATGTCAGATATATACTTGTAATCCGTTCGATGAATCCGGCTATTCTGTTATGTGGAGTGTAGGTTCAGTTCCGAAATTGATATTTTTCCTCAATGGTAACAATGACTTTTACTTTGTTGACTCTAAGGTATAAACTAATGACAATTGTGCATCTGCCATTGTTAAGATAAAACCTGGCAATATTAATCATCTCTCTGACCTGCAGAGCGTATAATAAGGCCTCTCAAAGTGTAGTCGCTTTCAACAACTTTTCGGAGATCAGACTTCAGTGTACGTCCCTCGTGGGAGAAATTCTCTTCGATTAATATTGAAGAAGCAGAAAAAAAGAAGTTACAGTTCATAATTCGCAGGGAAAGCAGTTGCTGTTCATTGCAGTTGGGCTGGGAATTTTGAATAGGAGTTTTTTTTTTTTTTTTTTCAAATTTTCTTTGCAGAGTTGAGCTTTGAGTTTTTTATTTTAATTATTATCACATCCTCGACGGTGTTGGAGCCTAAAAATTTATTTTTCTTTTTAAGTAATTAAAAAAATGTAGTGTTCTCCCTGGCATATAATCTGGTTGATTATGCTAGTTGGGTTGAAGTCTTAAGAGATAAAGAAAATTTTGTATGGGTTTTCCTATCTTTTCCTTCATTTCTCTACCTTTTCCTTCAAACCAAACATAACCTAAAAGAAATTCTATCCAAAATTTGCTAGTGATGATGATCCCAGCATTTTTATCTGATTTATCGTATTTCAAATAGGGACTTTCCAACCAATCCAAACTTGCACTAACTCAGCCAGCCAACAGTATAGGTTCAATCTGGAAAGAGTACAAATATAAATATATAAAAGACAAATACAGACAAAATAATACAAAATACAAGATTTTGCTTTTACACATTTGTATTTGTACTCTTTCCAAACACAGCCATAACGACAATGAAGATGACAAATTAATGAGAATTTCTGAACCCAAGGACAATAAAGAATGGTGAGTCTCCTCTCTCTCTCTCCCCGTTTAATTGATCTTGGATGGAAATCATTTAGATATAATTTTACAACAATTCTTCAATTCTTCTTAAATAACATCGAACACGAGAAATTTAGTTACACCACATGGTTTGATTGTATGATGGTAGGCAAAATTTTTTGTAGTCACCTAACACTTGTGAATATGTGATCTAAGGACATTGTGCAAATAATGCATGAAGTTAATATGTTGTCTCCCCAATCCGACTAATGTCCCCACTGATGCACAATTTTCTCTCATTAATCACGTGCAGGTCACGTGTAACCTGCAACTCCACATCAGACCTGACGCCAACATTACCCCACACTAACTTCTAGAGGACCTCCACGTGCCTCTCCAAAAAGTATTGGCAATAACACCCCTGTTGAGTCAGGAATGGTCGTCATAATAGAAACTGCAGAGAGACTAGGACCCACCATGCTCTATGGCTTCTTATAGCTTTAGCCGCTTACTGTAAAAGAAACACTAGAAGACAAAAAAGGGGGTTGAACCCTTGGAGGTATGGTGTGTGTGGTGTTTTAGAGAGAGAGAGAGAGAGTTGTGACTTGTGGGTTTATTTATTTATTTAGACCACTACTACTACTACAATATATAGAACATCGAAAGCATAGAAAGAAACCCCTATAATGAATCCAGTGGTTAATTACCCTACAGTCCAACTTGCCTTTTGAGGGCATTGAGGAGGAGGTGAAGGATTAAAGGTGGTAGGAAAGATGTCCTACATTCCAGTCATCTAATTAAAGATGAGATTCTTACTATGGGGCCACTTGGAAATGGATTGATGGACCCCGCCCCCCTTAATTTTTAAGCAATGAGTGATAGAAATGGAAGGGTGAGCCACGATGATACAAAATAAGAAAAAAGTTTGCCTGATTTTGATGGGCCTTTTAGCAGGTGTTTGACAACATAGTTGGATTTTTGTTTTTGAAAATAAAATAAATGCTATGTCAGCAAAAACAATACAATTTTGCTGATGTTAGCCGAAGAGAAGAAGTGTCCGCACGATCTGAAGACAATCACCAGCCTTCCGAGCAGCATCACCGCCGCTGAAGAGAGATCCCCAGGAACGATGGCGGACATCTTGGCCGCCCCAGAGTTCGCTCCTGGGGCGAGAGCAAACGTCACACCTATAGGGAGGCACACGACCCGGCCTCGGAGTACTTAGGAATCCAAGCTGATACCCACCGAGTTCGTGATGACAGAAGTAGGGCCTACACCCCTGCCGATTCGGGGCTTCCAGAACTGCGAGCCGAGCTCAGGGCCGATAGAGACAAGCTCTGCCAAGTCAAGGAGAGCCGAGCTGACACCTCCACTAGTCACGGAAATTCCGCTGGCCGCATGGATGCATTCACCCCGGAAATCATTTTGGAGCCACTCCCCCCATACTTCAAGGCTCCTACTTTGGAGATGTACGACGGCTCCCTGGACCCCAACAACCACCTAGAAAGTTTCAGAGTGCTCATGATACTCTATGGGTATTCCGATGCCTTGACGTCATGCCGCTAGTTCTCTAGCCTCCCCCCGAGGTCAATCAGTTCGTGGGAGCAGTTCGCCAACATGTTCCTCGCCCGCTTCATTAGCAACAAACGGTGCTAGAAGATCGTCATCTCAGTCATGTCCATCAAGCAGAAACCGAGCAAAAACTTGTGGTCTTACATGCCGCCATCAATGAGCTCTGGCCTACCTCCGCCCTCAAGTAGTTGGTCGCCAAGACCCTGCCGAAGACAAACCTGGAGTTCCTCAAAAAGGCCCAAAAGTACATTGCAGCCGAAGAGGCTTCGACCAGGGACCACCAAGAGAAGGAGGACGAGCGCAGCGGCGGGCCCTCGGATAGTACTAGGAAGAATGAAGACCGTTGAGGTGATGGCGGCAAAGATAACAAGAAGCCATCGGCCTTGACCACGGCTTATAGCCAATATACGCCACTCATCTCCTCCCGGACCCAAATCCTGATGCAGATAAAAGAGGAGAAGTTTGTGAAGTGGCAGAGAATATGAAGAGGAACCCTAAAAAGTACTACAAGTTTCACTGTGGCATCAGCCACGACACCGAGGACTGCTATGAGTTAAAGAACGAAATAGAGTCCCTCATCCGCTGCTGGCATTTGAAGCAGTTCATCAACAGCGAAGTCGATGCTTCGTCCTCCCAGCAACAGCACCAGTAGATCGCCGGAGTCATCGACGTCATCGACGGGGGCTCGGCCTCGGCCCGCAAGGCCTACGCCAGGTAGTTAAACATCCAAGGGCGAGCCCCCGAGAGGCCAAAGTATCAGGAGGACCTCTTCTTTACGAACGAGGACCTCAATGGGATCACAGTCACCCATGACGATGCACTGGTGATTTCGACCGTAGTAACAAACTTCCTAGTCAAGAGGATTCTCGTCGATAGTGGCTCCTCGACAGACATCCTCTTCAATGAAGCTTTTGAAAAGATGAAGATAGTGCCAGAGTGCCTCCAGCCCGACGACGTCCCACTGGTAGGCTTCTCCGTCAATGTCATTAGGCTAGAAGGAAAGATCCCCCTACCAGTCACGGTAGGAACTGAGCCTCGGCGGGTGACAAGGATGATAGAGTTCCTTGTCGTGAGGATTGGCTCCCCCTACAACGCAATCATAGAGAGCGACCCTTCACGTGCTACGAGCCACCATATCCTCCTACCACCTCACCCTCAAATTCCCGACCGAGCACGTCGTCGGAGTTGTTTGGGGGGATCATCATATCGCCTGCCAGTGCTATGTGGCAGTGCTGAAGGGCAAGAATAAAGAAGCATTGTCACTTGAGGGCCTCGACCTCAGGGAGGAGCCAACGAGCGAGGCCAACCGGCCGAGGACCTCGTATCGATTCCCTTAGACGAGGACGAGTCCGAGAAGACAGTCTGCGTTAGGTCCAACCTTCCCTTGGAGAGCCTATCCGAATTGATTGAGCATGGACCCAAGCTCTAGGCCGGTTCGACAGAAGAAGAGGAACTTTGCACCAGAGCGATGGAAGGCCATAGGAGAGGAAGTTGACAAGCTACTCGACGCCGGATTGAACCGAGAGACCTTAACCGAACCTGCCCCTCCGAGCGACGAGACCAAAACACACAAAACATGTATAGATCACTCATAGCTCGTAGTTAGTTTGTTGCACTCTCAATTTTAAGTAGTTAGGGCATTGATGGCCAAGGCAGGGCCACATGTCCGAAGTGAGGTTCGCCTGGCTCCAGAATTCCTTTAAGTGTTTACTTAGGCAAGGCCAAAGTGACCTGGCGCTGTAGCCGAGCTCGTGGGCCGAGGTTGGCGCTAGAAGGAGGGCATCTTCATGGATGCCTTTTTCGGATACAATCAAATAAAGATGCACCCAAAAGACGAAGAGAAGACCTCATTCATCACCGAGCACGGTACATACTACTACAACGTGATGCCCTTCAGGCTTAAAAACGCAAGAGCTACCTACCATCGTCTTATTAATAAAGTGTTCAAGAACCAGATGGGGAGGAACATTGAAGCCTATGTAGATTATGGTGGTGAAGAGCCTTAAAGCCAAAGCACACTTCTCGGACCTGGCCGGGACCTTCGACACTTTGCCAAGGTTCAATATGAAGCTAAATCCCAACAAGTGTGCCTTTTGCGTCACCTCGGGCAAGGTCGTAGGCTTCATCGTCACTCAATGAGGCATTGAGACCAACCCTGAGAAGATACAAGCCATACTAGACATAGCACTTCCTCTGTCAGTGAAGGAAACCCAGAAGCTCACTGGCCAAGTGGCGGCACTCAACCGCTTCATGTCAAAGTCAACTGATCGATGTCTTCCCTTCTTTCGAGCCATCAAGAAA